AAAAAAAATTAAATAGGTACCTGTAGCACGAGAGGACAGAGCTATGAATTAAATAAAATCCTCTTATATTATGTCTTTTGCTCATGCCTGGGAAGATAGATCTGGAAACCAAATCCTTCCTAAGAATAAATCAGTAAACATCTGTCAGAGGAGCGACATAACATGACTGTCATCTGACTGTGTACTCTGGAGGGCTGCTGCTAGCACTGCAGAAGGAACCAATTAAGGGCAGAAGCAGAAAGCAAATAAAAATGTTACTGTATCAGTTGGGTCGAACCATCACATTGCTGTACTCTTTTCTATCTACCTAAATTGAATGTATATGGTTTCTCTATAATTATTACCATCCTTACTCTTCTCAAACTTTGTGCTGGAGACACAAGAACCACTCCTCCTTAAGTGATGTTCCATGTAAATTCTGTTGCAGTTTTTGTGCTCACAGGTGTTATAAACATGTTTTTGTGGTACTCCAGGCTGAGTAGTGTGGGATCAAATTTAGATCCTGGTTTTTAAGTGCTCTCCTAAGAAGCATTTTTTCCAAATTGAGTGGATATTCTTCTGAGCCCAAGCACTGTGAGGAGCTGAGCATGCATGTGGTATCAGAGCAGAGATGTGGTTTTGAAACAATTTAAAAAATGCTGCTGTCAGCTGATTCAGGGGTCTGAGGAGCTTTGCACAAGGAAACCTCTTGAAATTTTTCTATTCCTCGTGAGGTGAGAGTGGGTTGGAAAGAACTACACCTCAGAGAACTGCTAATTTGTAAAGGATGATTTTGAAAAAAATAAAAACAGAAGCATTTTTCTTGTACTAGTGCTGTATTTCTCATTCTATAACATTCAGTATTGCCACGTGGATATGCAGTCACTGTAGTATCATCACTTAGCACCATTTTTGCCACATCTGCTGGCACTGGAGCAGTAACCTGAGAGCTGAAGACTCAGGACTTAGCACTTAACTCCTCCAAAACTGTGATGGGTCACAGCAGTTTCATAACCACATTTACATGCCAGCTTGTCACAGCTGGCATGGATCCCTCTGAAGCAACCTTTGCAGTTTTCTGACCCTCCTATATGTTGGAGCAACTGCTGTCGTGGAAGTAATGTCCTTGGGAACATGATGGAGAGAAAACAGAGCAATCCCCTCTCTGAGTTTCCCTTTCCTGTGACACGCTTAGCCTTCAGAAGTAAAAACTGTCTCTATGGCTGCTCAGTCCTACAGCGAATTTAATATCTATTTTCAGAGATTCTGAATTTTTTCATTCTAGGTTAATGGAAAGCTTCCCTTTCTTGAGTTTCCATGTGTGCTACAAGGACAAGATGAGAAATACATGACACTGTGGAAACTCAGAAGCGTGACCTTGTAATCACAGGGATGCATTCTGAAATTTAGGAATATTTACTCAGCAAGGGGTATTCTGGAAAAAAATGCCTTCAGTCTGATCTCATCTGTCTGGTCTGGTATAGGAAAATGTTAGGAAGAAATATTGCATGTGTTTATTCTGCCCTTATACTCTTCTGTACATGGCCTCCCGTCATGGTTGTTGCTGGATGGGTTAGGTGCACCACTGGCTGGACTCCACATTGCACTGTGCATGTGATGCTGTTATGATTGCTGGTTTCTTAGGCAATATATAATTTTTCCAATTTTATATTCATGTTTTATTTCTCCATGATTATTCCTATGGGGGTTTTGCACAGTTTTCTGGTTATCTTGTTGATTTACTATGTCTTCCGATATTTCAGATATTCTTCATCTTCAAGCAAAAGATGGTTTAGAGCACTTAATCCTTTTTCACTCTGAGGCAGCACATTAAATTATTTACTTCTGAGGAACTCTTTTCTAAGTAAATTTTATAACTATTATATAAGAGAACCAGTTTGCACCACTAAATGGCAATCATAACTGCATCTGTAACACTTCTAAAAAGAAGCTGATTCTCCAGGAGTTCATTTTACAATACTTCCAAATCACAATACTCATCAAACATTGTTATTTTGCATGTCTAAACTAAAATGCTTGAGGATAAGACTTAAGGGAATTTGAGATTCAAGTGCTTTTTGGGCAGTTGCTATTTGATTATGGGCATAATGTTTCAAGAAAGGAATTTACATGGCCAAAGTTCATTCCTTGTTCTCCTCTTTTCCTCCTCCAGCAAATGAGTGCTTGTCAGCCTCCAAAAAGGAATATTGTTACAAAATTGGTTTCATATGGAAAAGAATGAAGTTACTCACTTGTTTTAAAGTTTTGCAATCTGGCTCAAATATCCTCGTGTTGTGCCTTGCTATTCCTGCAAGTTGTTAGGTAGAACAGCTGACAAATGAAAAGTCAGTAAGCACTACTAGGGACTGGGGCACTGATTTTCACAGTTTACTTGTTTTAAACCCATTAGTTTCATTGCAATTACACCTAATTTAGGTTTGTGTGAAAATTAGGCATTAAGGAAACCTTTTATTTATTTAGTCTTTATTTCTTATGATTTGAGAGCTATTAACATATGATA